TCTGTCCCCAAAGTGAAAACCTAACATAGAGAGGCAGCTTTCAGTTTTTATGCAACGCAATTCTGGAACAAACTCCCAGAAAACTGCAGGTCTGCTGCAACTCTTAGTTCTTTTAAATCAAGACTGAAGACTTGTTTGCCGCTGCCTTTTATTAAATCTTCTATTAAATCCTTATGATATAAAATGTCACTGAGAAAAATACCAATACGAAATAAAAGGCTTTTAAGAAAGGCATTTTGCTATAATGTAATAACTTTAACTAAACCCTTTTACAATTAGCATTTAAGACAATTATTAATACATTTAATTAATAATAGAACATTACATTATAAGTATTACATAAGTAATAGTAATAATACATGAGTTTTATTCAATTATTTCACAATGAACTCCTTTCCTTTATATATTTTATGTATATATTATACATGTGATTACATACACAATTATATCTTGTTCTTTTTTTCTTTCAGCATTGGCCCCTGTTGACCTCCGTAGACACTAGCTATTGAAGCCTGTTTGAAAACTGCTTTCTAAATCTATTAATTTAACGTTTCTATGCCAGGCGTCAGGTTACTACAATATAAAACAGACTCAATAAGACTTTACAGGTGTCAGCAGTTGTCTCTCTTTCATTCGGCAGGTATGAGGTAGAACAAACAGCAGTTAATATGACTTTTGTTTGGTTGTTTTGTAGATAAAATCGGCTTTACGGTTAAACTATAGTCAACAACCCAAAACGTTGGTGGGCGGGAGCAGTGAAACCTGGAGTTACAGGCTAGAAAAGCAGCGATAACAACACGTTTTTGTTCGCTTCGTTAGCCGAATATCGATATACATTCATCTGTTTAAAGATCAAACATCGGTGTCTTTGGAGAACATTTTAGACATTTGGGCGTAACGTTTTAGCAGCAGCACTTGTGTCAGCTTGTACTGCTAGTTACCAGCTACTCTTTCCACAGAACACCAGCACAGTATGCCATTAGTCAGCTTATTGTGCCCAGTCCGGCACACAGTTGTGTTTTAAGTCAGTATTAAATTAGTTGCTGTTTAGTTTGGCAAGCTCTCCCTAGAAAGATGCAAAGAAGTTTCGAGGTGTCTTAGGCTAACATTTTAGATAGCAAAGTTCAACACACGACAGTGACTCAGTCACTAACTGCTAAGGCAATGTTGACCAAAGATTGATACCGCATATTATCGCAGTTTATTAACCTGTCCGGTGAACTATGTAGTCCGACGGTGTTATTTCAAACCCTGAAACAGGTCCATGCTCTCTCTAGCTCCTCTCTGACACACAGTCCATCTCTGTGGACCGTCCAATAGAGAGCGGCGCGCTCACACTGACAAGAGGATCGACCAATCAACGCTCTGCAAATTACGATGCATACGGAAATGGCGCTCGCCATCCACGAGCCCTCGCTGAAGGTGCTTCGTGTATGTTACTGAAGTCACGGTGGTTGAAACCTACCGGAGAGCCAGCTGCCTCCGACATGTCGGTGATCCACTTCAGTCTGCAGATGCTGCACGAATCAGCGGCCACACACAGCGACCATTATATAGCATGAATCCCTGGAACCAGTCAGCCCGCCTCTGTCCCACACATATGACCGTCTATGAATGAACGCGGAACCTGTGATGTCATTGCACCGGTTAGAGGTCATTTCCTTGTTCCGTCGGTCGGTTTCCTCCTGCGGACTTACTCATATAAAATAGAGCTATTATTATGTAGGCTTTCTATTGAGTCATGTTTGTGTAGCTGTGGTAAACTCCCATTTATTATTTTTATGAGAAGAGAAAGTGCAACAGTTTACCGAACTGTTGCTAAATACATGGAGGCCATCAGAGGGATTACTTTAAAGCTGGTGTATTTTTTCAGATTGTCCTGGGGATGTGGCCATAATAAATAAATACTACCGGTATATCAACTTGGGACTTGAATGTCAAGCACCGCACCTATAGCTTTATCCACTCCTCCCATGTGAAGAAATTGCCAAAAGGAGATGTTTGGGGAGGCAGCTGAAGCAAATATCAGAAAGTACAGCTGGCCATCAAACACTAGTTTTCTTGGGTATAATAGGAAAAGGAACAGAGCAACGTGTTAAAACCTCCTGTTCACTCTGACTAAATAGAGCTGTTTGCATAGCCTTCATACACTGTTTAAATAAGGACATCTGGTGCTCAAAGAAAGTTACTGCAACACTGTGGGTTCTCTAGTATTACTGTAGGGTCTAATCGAAATCTCATCACTTCACCATCTCTCCACATTAGCATGTCTATTTATGTGTGTAAAACACAAGTGTACATAATGTGGAGAGATGGTGGAGAAAATAATTTCCTTATTGGGAATTAATAAAGTTCTTCTTCTTCTTCACAAGTATAATAAGGTTTTAGTCTCTTTTTTTCTTTATAACAAACACGTATTTACTATGTTTTAAAGTGTTTCTATTTCTAACGTGTATCCACCATTTTATACTGAACATTGTAATGTACATAAGGGTTGGCTGAAACGTAATTTGACTTACACTGTGTGTTTGAATGATAGAAAATGTAAACTAAATGTTCAATGATGGATATTATTTTTTCTATTGTGTATTACTATTTAGCTTGTAGGGTTTATGTATTTTTAAATGTATGTGTTTATTGTGCTTTTGTATGTACATGACTTTATTAATAGCACAACAAAATATTCCCAAAATAGTAGATAAATAATTTTCCATTTACATTCATTTATTCAAGGTGAGAATGACGATTCAAGCTGCAGTAAATGAGGTA